TGCAGGAGGTAACCAATTTGATGTGTTTCTCACATCAATATTTCTGTCTTTCCCTCTCCCACTCTCTCTAAAAATTAATGGGAAAATATCCTCGGGTGAGGATTAAATACAATGTTTATATGGATCTAATTCTAGAACGTTAATGAAATGGTCTAGAATTTTAATAAAATCATCTAGATCCTCAAAACACTATCTTAATAATGATTCAATGATAGATCCTCCCTTCCCCCAACTGGTGGGCGGAGTATGACGTGACCTGCAGCCCGGAAATACCTGAGTGACTAACCAGGTACCTTATATGGACTATACATTGGACCACCAATCCACACCTGCCAAATCCCCTAAACCCTTGTCCTATATGGACAATGCAGTAAGCCACCAATCAGTGTGCGCCGAGTACACTAAGCCCCCCACCCCTTCCCATTCTGCCCCCTCAAAAGGCGTGCCCACCCCTGCACGTGCTGCTGTTCTCCCCTTGCAGGACAGCCCGGCAGGTCCTTTTCTAATAAAGCCTGTAGTCCTGGTTTTCGGCCTCTGTCTGATTTTTCAGATTCCATTAAACTTCAATTTGAGCAAATGTAGCATCAAGTAAGTAAAATCAAACTGAAAGAATAATTATCTAAAAATTATTTTTAAAGAGAAAACACGTCCTTCCGGCTGCTGTAAACCTGATTCAAACCTGCAGGTGGCTCAGATACCTGAGTCCTCACAGCTTGACCTCTCCTCTGGGGGCCTGATGGTTTAGGGAGTCACCTGATGCTTCCTGGCCTCTGCCCAGGGCTGCAGGTGGGACAGTGGGGGCCACTTGGGAAAAGCTGGAATTCAAACATCTTCAGCCAATATTTTGTCTGTTGTGATCCTTTTCTTGTCTCAGTGAGCTTTCTCTCCACCAGGCTGCCATCCACCTTACCTGAGCTTTTTTCTCATGGGAGGCAATCCAGCTGATCTTCAAGGAAGTGCTTCTTTCCAACTGTCAGAGCCATCTTCTTGTAGGAGCCGTGCTTCTAATGTACATGTATTTTCATATACTTTGGGAACTTTCTTCCAGATTGCTAAGCAGTAAATTCTTTTCTCAGTTGATTTTTTGCAAATCTGCATTGCACAGTTGTTGACTAGTCCGGCAATATTTGAAGTTTTTGAGTCTCACTTGCAAACTATTTTCAGACTGCAAAGATGTTTGTACAGTTTGGCACCGTTCATTTGGACTGTAAGTGGTTTGTTAATTTAAATTTCTTCACTTAACTTTTTAAATAGTCCTTAATCTTTCTCCTTCAAGTCTTTTCAAAGGAACACTTAACAGGATTGGTATATCCCTTCAAATTGACGTCTCATTGACAGTGGAGGGGTTCTCATTTGTTTAATTTTCTCTGTCTGATTTCAGATAGCCATCAACCAGGTAATCATTTCTGAAGAAAGCAGGCAGACTTATCTTCATCACCTTTTCAGAGATTTTAATGGGCTCTCTTTATCATTTAACGCCTCTCTCGTTGTGTTTTCAAGTTGTCAGCTTTTTTTTTTTTTTTCTGTTTCTTCATTTCTAATGGGCTCTCTTTATCATTTAACGCCTCTCTCGTTGGTGTTTTCAAGTTGTCAGCTTTTTTTTTTTTTTTTTTTTCTGTTTCTTCATTTCCCACACTTTCATCTTACAGCTTCTTGGGATAGCAGTTGTTTTGGGCATTCTTCAAAATGAGTGTTTTTATCCAAGCCATCCATGACTTCCCTCCGAACTTGCTCGGCATTCCTCAGAGATGATTTTATGATGTTTCGTCATCAGTCTCCTGAGATAGAGGAATTTCCATGCATTTTCAGGTGACACTGTCAGTCCTTAAAGCCATGAAATGAAAATGTAGCCGAAACCGGTTTGGTTCAGTGGATAGAGCGTCGGCCTGCAGACTGAAAGGTCCCAGGTTCGATTCTGGTCAAGGGCATGTACCTTGGTTGCGGGCACATCCCCAGTGGGAGATGTGCAGGAGGCAGCTGATTGATGTCTCTCTCTCATCGATGTTTCTAACTCTCTATCTCTCTCCCTTCCTCTCTGCAAAAAATCAATAAAATGTATTTTAAAAAAAAGAAAAAGAAAGAAAGTGTAGGGGGCTTCCTGTTTTCTGTCCTTTTTTGGAAAAGTGCTGTACTGTTCTCAAGTGATGACCGGAGCTACCCAGATTTGTAAGTGCTACCAAACTCAGTACTTGTAGCTGCAGAGGACCGGTCTCCACTAGAGGTGACTTGGGGCTTCGTTGGTTTGCCAGCTCCTCACGGACTTTAACCCAGGCGGAGAATATTTTGGCTGGCTCCTTTTCCCTCAAGTTTGCCTGCTCTTTACTCTCTTTACAATCAGAGAATCCATATCAGAATCTCCTAGGGAAACCATAGAGACTTGGGCCTTGAATCAAGCATCAGACAACACCTGGGGGCTGAAGGGGGGCCAGGAGAAGGAGGGAAGACCAGGTTCTATAAAACAGACTCACTGCACAAAGGGGAAGTGATATTATTTATCCAGCGCATTTGGACACAGGAAACAAGGATTGCAGCCAGAGGAGGTCATCCATGAGCTCTGGCTGCTCTAGTCCTGACCTGTTCCTGCAGGAAACCTAGGAGATCAAAGTCATGCCATGCCATTACCCACTAGGCCCACAAGGTAGTAGGGGAGGCGGGGGGAGGGAGCACGCTGCAGTAGAGGACACCTGTGTGCAGGGCCCTGGGTGAGGCTCATGCTCTTGTGCTCAAGTTTCCTTGGGCAGCAGGGAAGCCTGATCCTGCCTGCAGAGGTCACAGGGATCTAGCTCCCCAGGAGGCACCCGTCTAGCCCTCATTTGTGTGTGTTCCATCCAGGTGTGCAGGGGCAGAGCAGTGAAGGGCCTCAACAAAGGTATTACTACCAGCCCTGGATTTCAATGTCAGATTTGGCAAAGCCTTAACAGTTCACGGATTTTCTGTGGAGCCAATTTGTCCTCATTCAATCCAAGCGTTCCTAGATGAGGGAGGTTCTTCCACTGGTGTCTGTGACCCAGGCTCCTCCCATCATGTGACCCTGCAGTCTCCAGCTCCTGGCTCCCAAGGTTGTCCCACAATTGGTCCTCAATCCAGGGAGTCGTTTTCAAAAGTGTGGCTGCCTCTGTGTAGGGGGCAGGTCCTTTTGGCTGAATCTGGCACCCCATATCTATTCCTTGAAACAAAATCTCACTCTTCTAGTTTCTCTCTGGCAGACAGCTCAACCCCCTTGCCCATCGCCTGGGACACTGAGGGACTCTGGGAAAAGAGCCATTTTTTCCACAGGGAAAGGAGAGAACGCTCAGCGGATGGTGGATGGGCTGGAGATCTTGGAGGGGTCCAGGGAGCAAGCCATAGGCTATTCTATGAATGTGCAGGTTAGGGCTCAAACTAGGCCTTTCAATGAGGAAAGGAGCTGCCCAAATGCCTGATGGAATCTACTTTGTTTAGAACTCTTTTTTGTTGTTGGAAAAGGGTGTGGGGAGAGGGGACGACAGGGATGGGGACAGGGCTTATTTTAAGTGGTAAGACTGGACAGTCAGAAAGGGCAGGGAAGTATTTTAGTATTTTGTTGAATGACTTTTATAGATATAGATATAGATATAGACATAGACATAGACATAGACATAGACATAGACATAGATATAGATGATATAGATATAGATATAGATGATATAGATATAGAGATATAGATATAAGTGAATTTTTAAAAAAATGTATTGATTTCAGAGAGGAAGGGAGAGGGAGAGAGAAAAACATCAATGATGAGTGAGAATCATTGATCTGCTGCCTCCTGCACACCCCACACTGGGGATCCAGCCCACAACTCAGTCAAGTGCCCTGACTGGGGACCAAACTGTGACCTCCTGGTTCATAGGTCAATGCTCAACCACTGAGCCACACTGGCCGGGTGAATGACTTTTTTTCAATGTGTGTAATAAGTCTCTTTATTCTGTGTTTTTTTTCTCTTCCGTACAATTCGGTCTTTTGTAGGAAATGATGCAGTTCGGCTGCACTGGTGTTTCCAATGACACAAGACGATTTTAGGTGTTTTGGTGACTCAGCACTAGGTAACACTGAGTCACATAGTGAGAAAGTCATTTCTTTCTCCTGCAAGCCTTTTCATTATGTTAAAAGCTTTTCTCCGGCTCTTGCTAATCTCCCTCATTAATAAAGAGAGCAGGTCTCAGGTTGACAGCCTTCTGCAACCATTAGTATCTTCCTGGGTTTTAATAAGAATAATTTGCTTTCATTATCTTCATGTTTATAGTTATCCTCTACTTATGAAAAAAGATACTATTTTCCACTTAGGGTGAAAATTTGAGCCAATCATTTTAATGAGCTGGCTGAAAAAAATACTAGATAAATAATAGTATATATGATATGTAGATGTCAACAACAAAAAAGTGTAGTGTTGCCAGTAAATAACGATACTTCCAGAACCTCTGAGTCTTTGTGATTTCTTCTATATGCTCCTTTGAGAGGAATTTGGGAGCCCAAAGGAACTGAATTGCCATTGGGACATTTAAGGAGGTAAGATGTCAGCCAAACTACAGTGGCTTTGACTTATTTAAATTCTGACACCACCTTCTGGAATAACAGGAAATTCTTGTCATTAATTATGATAACATTGAGCGCTGAAATGAAATGAGATTAGGACTGTGTTTATGTGTTACTTAGGAAAGAGGACCTCCGCACTACATTGCTGCAGCATCTTGGAATCTCAGCAAACAGAGACATTGCTGACACCTTCCTGATCAGATGAGGCTGCCTGTGTCATCTGGAAGGTCAATCAGCTCTTGGTCTTAAACCTGTAAAGGTATCCTTTGCGAGCACTCCATAACACAAACTCACCTGTTAGAGTTCAGTTCAAGAGGTTGCTTCTTGAAAAATCAGAATAGTAGTTGGTTAGTTATTAGCCAAATTTCAACTGAAAAGAAATTGAATGGTCCCAGAACACACATTTAAATTCTGTCCCTCCAGAAATAACACCATAGATGTATTTAGCATTACTACTGGCACAGATAGTATCATGCCTCAAAATGTTTATTGACAACGTTTTTCCATTTTAATATTTTTCATCATTTCCTCAATTAGTATTGCTAGTTTCCCTACTAAGAATTTAGCACTAAGCTTATTGTTAGTGATGATGTACACTGTTTCTACAGCATCCCGAAGCAGGACATTAAATGTCCACATTCAATGTAATCCAAAGTGTGAGGCGAATCATTTCAGCATCTCTCAGGGGCCTCGCTGGCTCTCACGGAGAGTAAGGTGGTGGGGACTGCTGAGCGGAGAGTTTCTCGTAGGCAGGTGGGGCATTGGGAACCTGGGAGGACGAGAAAGGGAGAATAGGGCGTTGGCCACAGCGTGTGTTTCTGGGACAGCCATTAAGTAACATAACTCTACTTTTTCTCTGGACTGAACCTTTACGTGTCCACATCTAATTTCCATCCAACAAGGTAATCATAGTTAAGTTTCACAAGTGTGCATGTTGAAACATTGTTGGGGCAAGAATAGAGAAAAATAGGGCTAAGGGCTTTTCAAAACCTCGAAAACGTATATACAGGGCATCTCCCAAAAATGTATGCACACTTTAGTAGCTGATAGCTCAATTTTGAAAATGTATTTTAATAAACACTGCCTTTATAATTATTCAAAGTGTGTGCATAGTTTTTTGGGGACGCCCTATATACCTAGAATATCCTTGTCAGTAGAAGTCCCAAGCCCTAACTAATGAATTATTGAACCCTGTTTGCAGGCACTAAATACATTGCATTTTTACTGCAAAATTAATCTTAATATATTTCATTTAAACCCACATATCAAAATATCATTTCAACATGTAACTGATATAAAAATGATTAATGAATTATCTATGTTCTTTCCTCATACTAAGTCTTTGAAATCTGGTATGTAGTAGAGTGCATCTTAATTCAAACTGCTGTGTTTTAAGTGCTCAATAGCTACATGTGGCTAGCTAGTGGCTACCCTATTGTGTAGCACAGCTCTATACAAATAATAACAGGTCTTTTATTTTCTCCCTCAAATATATCTGTGTTCAGGACATAGACAAGTATACTAAAAACATAAGACAAAAGGATATTGTATCCAGAACCAAGTTCTTCCTTTGGATCCTACATGTAAAGCTGTCATTGTTGACCCTGGAAAATCGGTATGAGTGAACACAGTCTAAGAACATTTCTGTGCTTCCCTTGTTTTTTACCTTTCTTATTTTTCATTATGGTAAAATAGACAAAATTTACTATTTTAACTTTTTAGGTGTACTGTTCAGTAGTATTAAATACATTCACATTGTCCTTGCTTTTAAAATAGGAATAATTTTATTCATTTGAGTTAAAAGCAGCCATACACGAAAACACCAACATGCAGGATCTCAACTTACCACAGGTTCATAATTGTTCTCTAGAAAAGGCAGCTTGCTGTCCTGGTGACCAAGTCCCTCACGTAGACATCTTCCTGTAAAGGTACCCTGAGTACCAACGTAACGGCTTCTGCCCTGAAATGTGAATTCATGAAGATCAGTGGGTGAGAAGAAAAGATTGAGCCCATTAAAGAAATGAGAAAGAAGGTGACGTTTTAAGATTGGCTTTTAATCCTGGTTGTGCCACATAATGTGTATCCCCTCAAAACTCCAGTTTTTGCATCTGTAATATGAAAATAACATCATCTACCTCTCAAAGCTGTTGCAGGAGTTAACTAAAGGTAAAGCACCTAGTGCAGTGCCTGATACCCAGTTGTCAATGGCTTTTGTAAAAATATTTTTTCTTTATTTCAGAGAGGAAGGAAGAAGAAGAGATAGGAATATCAATGATGATAGAGAATCATTGATCAGCTGCCTCCTACATGTCCCCCACTGGGGATCAAGCCCACAACCCAGGCATGTGCCCTGACCAGAAATCAAACCGTGACCACCTGGTTCATAGGTCGACGCTCAACCACTGGGCCACACAGGCCAGGCTCAATGACTGTTTTTAAAGGGAAGGAAAAAAGAGTGAATCTTAAAAAATGAACTTCAGAATGAATGCAAGTGGAGTAGATCAGAGCTAGTGAGGCAGGAGCTGGTATGACAGTGAGGACACGCATCTGACCACATGCCAGCAGGGACAGACTCTGTGTCTGCCTTTTGCATAATGACAGCAAAATATCTTAAACACTCTGAACGCATGTCCTGTGATAGAAATGCTGAGGCCGTGGCCCTGGGCTTCCAAGTCAAGTTGCAACAATGACGACAAGTCAGTCTATGGCTAAGCGATGCACCCTGAGGTATTGGGGGCGGGATGGCTAAAAGCTTAGTGCTTTGCATAGGGTTAGAGGGTGATCCTCTTCACCCATAGAATAGAATGGCAACCGTTTGTACAAGACAGAGACACAAACTAAAGTAGAGACTGCAGGAGCGGTCCACCCTGGTGAGGTAGAGTTTTTAATCACTGATAATGTTAAAAATTGCTGGCATTTTCTGATAATAAAAAACAGACTAACTTTTAGTTGCTTTTATTATTGTTAAAGTCTCTACAACAATGGTTCTCAAAGTGAGCATGCATCATCATTCCCTGGAGGGCCTGCTAAACACATTGCTGGGCCCACACCCAGAATTTCTGACTCAGTCAGCCTGGGGTGAAGCCCACGAATTTGCATTTCTAATAAGTTCCCAGGAGATATTGCTGGGCCAGGACCACACCAAGAACCACTGCTCCACAGACAATGCACCTTCTTATTGCCTGTGCCTCGTGCAACTCGGCTATACTCAGAGGGACCAGGCAGGTGATGAAGGGGGTCAGGTGAGGCCATAGGAAAGGAGGGAGTGTCTGTCCCATCTGAAGGGACAGCCACTGCAGAGCTGCCAGTTTTTCCCAGATCTTTTGATTTTTTTTAAAGAAACTAGAAATCAAGATTTTTGTGTAAAATGTTACTTTCAATGTTAGCACCTAATTCAATTTTTAAAAGAGGCCCAAACCTATCTGTGGGCCCAAATCCAGCCAGCGGGGTGTGAGCAGCGTGCTCTGTGGCTGAGGGAGGCTGGGACGGGGAGGTGTGCAGGGGATCTGAGGCTCCTGGGCTCCGCTGTGGGCCGAGGCAGACCACGGGGGTCTGTCTGCCAGGCTGCATGAGAAAGGCATCCAGGCAGGTCTCCCAGGGAGGAGGAGTGTTAGGAGCATCAAATTGGACGAGGCCAGGCGTGGATTGGGCTGATACCTACACAGTCTGCAGGCTGTAAAGTAGTTTCCCGAAATTCCAGCCTGAACAAGGACCCTAATCTTTTTTATATCTATTATTTTGTGTGTCTCTCTTTTTTTAATCCTCGAATGAGGAATGAGGATATTTTTTCCCCAATGATTTTTAGAGAGTGGAAGGAAGAGGGGGGAGAAGGAGAGAAACATCGATGTGAGAGAAACACACCAATTGCCTCCTCAAAGAGCCCTGACCCGAGGGGAGGGATCGAACCTGCAACCCAGGTACGTGTGCCCTGGCCAAGAATGGAACCCACGACCCTCCGGTGTGCGGGCTGACACTCTAACACCTGAACCAAGCCTGCCAGGGCTGTCTCTTTTTAATCAAATGTTAAAGAAAAAATAATGTCAAACTTACCCAGATGCTTTCAGAAACTAGGAAAAAAAGGAACACACCCCAGCTCCTTTTTTAAAGGGTTGTATAATGTTGATATGAAAAGCAGACAAGGACAGTGGAAAAGAAGAGAAAATATAATCTAATCTTCCTTCTGAAAGTATGTGCAGAAATCCTAAATAAACATAAGCAAATTAAGGCAAATATCCTATGTCAGCTGTCTATCATTACACAGCAAACGTCCCTAAATGCAGTGGCTTAAAGCAATCAATCACCCACAAGGGCCC